TTGGGGGGGGACGTGCAGATCTGTCCTCGCAGAGGAGGGAGAGCTTGTACCTGAATAAAACTTGGTCTTAAAGGTGCCACTGGACTCTTTTGGATTGCTAGCTATTGGGGGGGTGGGGAATGTGCAGATCTGCCCTTGCAGAGGAGGAGAGCTTGTACCTGAATAAAACTTGGTCTTAAAGGTGCCACTGGACTGTTTTGGATTGCTAGCTATTGGGGGGGAGAGCTTGTACCTGAATAAAACTTGGTCTTAAAGGTGCCACTGGACTGTTTTGGACTGGGGGGAGCTCTGCAGCTTACCTGGCTGCTTCTTGCTTTGACTGAGGGCTGCTGGGAGCAGGGGGTGGGGCTTGTTGCATGTGCCCACCCCCTGGGCTCTTTACTGCTGGAGCTCCGCTCCTGTGCGCTCCCGCAGGAAATGACCCCTGGTCATCTGGAGATCAGTCGTAGTTTTGGGAGGTCTCCAGCTACCACCTGGAGGTTGGCAGTCCTAGATGAAGGGAGCCTGGACTCTCGAAAGCTAAAACTCTGGAAAATGTTGCTGATCTGTAAGGCGCAACTGGATTCAAATCTAGTTGAAATATCATATTGTCTTTTTTGGAGAGAGAGAGAGAGAGGCAGAGAAATTAAAACCTCGCAATGCTCTATCCGGGTGGTTCCAGTTTATGCGGCGGCTGAAACAGCTGCTGAGGTCAGCTGTGTCCTTGGCATCGTTCTTCATACAGCTCTGAGGGACAGCAATTAGCAGCAACTCGCATTTAATCACATCCTTGTTACGACTCGCTTTACGAATGGGGAGCCGCTCCGCGGGTGTGGTGGGGAAAGTGCTTCGGCTCGAGGACCCGAAGACGGAATGTTTGTGGTTTTGTAATGTTGTCAGAAAGGGACGCAGTAGTTCAGTGGTTAGGATGCCGAGCTGCAAACTGGACCATCGGTTGTTCGGCAGTTCGAGACCCGAGTGTGCCGCGTGACGGAGTGAGCTCCCGTCTCTGGCCCCAGCTCCTGCCAGCCAACCTAGCAGTTCGAAAGCAAGAAATTGCAAGTAGATAAATAGGTACCGCTTTGGTGGGAAGGGAACAGCATTCCGTGCGCCTCGGTGTTTAGTCATGCTGGCCACATGACCACGGAGAAGACTTCGGACAGCGCTGGTTCTTCGGCTTGGAAACGGTGATGAGCACCGCAACCCCAAAGTCGGATTCAACTGGCTTTCGAGCAAGGGAAACCTTGACCTTTACCTAATGTTGTCAGAAAAGCCAACGTGGATACCTTTGGTTTAGACTTTTGCTCTACGGGTGTGATGCCCTGTTGTGTTTTCTTTGTTTCTTTAGAGCCGCCCATTAAGCCTCCAATCATCCCCTGTTGCCAGGAGCTTGGCTTGACTGCTTCCTTTGAAACGCTTTTACAAAAAGGGGGAGAGGAAGAGGAGAAATTTCCCGACACTACCAAAAATACCTTAACGGTATACTAAGCATTAGCCATGAGTTCAGTATCTCTTAGTTGGTTAAATTTGATGTAGTGGTTAAGAGCGACGGACTCTAATCTGGGAGAATCGGGTTTGATTCCCCACTCCTCCTCCACATGCAGCCGGCTGGGTGACCTTGGGTCAGTCACAAGTTCTCTCAGAGCAGTTCTCGAAAGAGCTCTCTCAGCCCCACCTACCTCACAGGGTGTCTGTTGCGGGGAGGGGAAGGGAAAGGAGATTGTGAGTCGCTCTGAGACTCCGAGTGAAGGGCGGGATCTTCTTCATCTCCTCCTCCTCCTCCTCCTCTGTCTAGTACATTTTATCCTCACAGTGCTGAATCTCGGCTCTCCGGGTGAGACATATTAAGCTAGGTTGCCAACCTCCAGATGGGGCCTGAAGATCACCCAAAGTTACAAGTGGTCTCCATCATACGGAGATCAGTTCCCATGGAGAAAATGTCTGCTTTGGAGGGTGGATGCTATGGCATTGTACTCCACTGACGTGTCTCCCTCCCCGAAACCCCACCCTCTCCAGGTTTGCATAACCACCACATATGGTAAAAGGATCCAACCTTATTTTGACATTTCCAGCACATATTTGAGCATTTAGAGTCAAACTTTGCCCATTTCTCAGGTGACCAACGATCTCTGGCCTGCCATTCATTCAACCCTCTTTGGTCACTGTCGGGGCCTTTACCTGCATTCTGGAGGGCAGGATACGTTTTTAAAAAAATACTAAAAGGAACATGTAGAAGAAGAAGAAGAAGAAGAGATTGGATTTATACCCCGCCCTTCACTTGGAGTCTCAGAGCGGCTTACAAACTCCTTTCCCTTCCCCTCCCCACAACAGACACCCTGTGAGGCGGGTGAGGCCGAGAGAGCTCTGACAGAAACTGCTCTTTTTCAAGGACAGCTGTGCCAGAGCTTATGACTGACCCAAGGTCACACCAGCAGCTGCAAGTGGAGGAGTGGGGGAATCAAACCCGGTTCTCCCAGATTAGAGTCCACGCACTTAACCACTACACCAAACTGGGTTGTCAACTCCAGGTTGGGAGATACCTGGAGGTTTTGGGGGTGGAGCCTGAGGAGGGGGCGGGGTTTGGGTAGGGGAGGGACTTCAGTGGGTAGGTAGAAAATTTACTGTATGTGGCCACAGTCCTTCACAATCTGAAATCATTTTGTTTTTAATTATGAACATTTTATTAAAGTTTTTTTTTAACGAAAGTGGTACATAATTTTTTCCAAGTTAGAAAACAGAGAGACATGAACTTTCAGTAAAGATACAACTAACAATACATAATCGAAATGCAGATATAATAATTAATACCATTTGTATCATCTATATACTAATAGCGAAAGGCGCCCCCTGTGTGCGGATATCTAAATCTGCACATCGGGGGCACCTGGGGGGCAGGCAGATTTTCCTGCGCACTTGGGGCAGTCCCCAGGTGTGCACAAAAATCTGAAAAGTGTAAAAAAATATTGGGATATTTCGGAGGGGGAACCGGCGGGATGGGGGGGAAGCTTACCTGCTGCTTCTTCCTCTGCCTGCTCTGTGTGGAGCTCCCCCGCTCCTCCCCCTGCGATTTTTGCGGGTCCCCTTTCTTGTTTATAATAAAGGTGACTTACACATATAACCCTAAAATACATCAGTAAACTATATCAAAATAATATATATCGTCTAAGATTTAGTCAGCTTTAAAATCTGATCATTTTTACCAAACTAACTAGCAGCAGCTGTATCAGTTGATAACCTTCCTAAGTTGCTACATTTGCTCTTATTCTCCTGGCTGCTCGAGCAAGAAGTGCCATCCTGTTGGAAACGAAAGAATCCGTCTCTGACAACATAGAGATTAATTTATCAGAGACCGAAAGAGGACGGAGACCAGGCAATATACTGGCGAGAAACCTTTCCCTTGGTTCCGAGAATAATGGGCAATTTAAAATGTAACGTGGCACTTCCTGAATCGAGGTTCCACAGATACATATACGCTGATCTATAGGGTTGTTGTTTTTTTAAATCGTCCGAGCAGCATTGTAAGACAGAACCTCTGTCCCTGATTGTGTTTGCCCAGGCCAATTTGAGAAAACACACAAAAGCAGTCCTGTAGAGTTGGGAACCAAAAAAAATAATGTATTAATTAATAAGGAAGAATACAGATTCAAAGGTTTTGGAACCTTGAATACCCAACAGATTCTTCAAGTGGGTGAAATAGCATTTTATACTCCACATTACATCAGAGAAATAAAACAGAATCATTGGTTCCATCAAACATTGTCAAATTTCATCACCTATTTCCCATTGGGTTAAGACCTGGGGGGGGGGGGGGTTTGTTCCCAGGCAGAGTTCTTCTTTTCCTAACAGAACAATACACTTTTCTTTTGGAAGCTATGAAGCTGCATGTTGTATCTATATAACTGATATGGTTACAGAGTGCTTGCTGTTCTTCATTCTAGCTAGGCTAACCGACATCAGAAACATGTGCAGTTGTAGCTGGCCAGAACGACCAAGGTCATGGGTAGCATAACTGTGTATCAGCATTTCCGCCTTCTTCCCAGGATGCATTCAAACAACAGTCACAAATGAACCAAAGTTAATACCTGAATGCATCCATGATTTCAGAATCATATGCATTATGGAAGTGCTAAGCACACCTACCAAGTCAAACCTGTTAGGCAGCGGCAGAGTACAAAGTGGTTCATAAAATGCGTACAACAGCGTCTCAGTTGTCATTGACAGAAAACGTCATGATGAGAACGTTCAGCGAGAGCAGCCTTTGCCTCAGATTTGAACAAAAGGCATCAGAAGTTTTTCGGTGACCAGAGAGGGATGTTCCCTACATTTTGTGGGGGCCAAAGAGATCTTCTGTTTTATCTGCACAGAATCAAGCAAGTGGTTTCCAGGCTCACGCAAGACCAGCCCATCGGTCCAATCGACCGAAACATGCTAAAAACATTAGCACTCTTGCAATATTTTGTCTATTTAACTGTGTCTGATAACTGACACCTCTTGCTCTGAATTATTGCATCAAACTGTCTGTGCTGTTGCAATCTTGAGTGTGCTGTTCAGGTGTGTATCTGTAAGCCGCAAACCTACAATGGCAGCAGCAGAACTGGAAGAAGAAGCAGAAGAGAGAGAAGAGATTGGATTTATACCCCACCCTTCACTACCCAAGGGAGCCTCAGAGCGGCTGACAAACTCCTTTTCCTCCCCCTCTCCACAACAGACACCCCAGGAGGGAGGTGGGGCTGAGAGAGCTCTGACAGAAACTGCTCTTTTTTCAAGAACAGCTCTTATCAGAGCTATGGCTTGCCCAAGGTCATCCAGAGGAGTGGGGAATCAAACCCGGTTCTCCCAGATTAGAGTCTGCGCAATTAACAGCCAGTTCCACTGCGGGCCTGATAGAAGCCCTCCGGGGGAGCCTGATCCAGCCCCGGGCCGCATGTTTGACACTCCTGCCCTACACTGTAGCCCTCCCCAATAAACAGTTCAATTTGGTCAGCCAAAATAGTGTTTTTATGGCCTGAGGATTTCACTGCGTTAAAAACGTACAAGCGGTTTGAAACGACACTATAAGAACGATGACCTGTTAAGTTCTTAAATGTGGCCTTTCCCCCTTTGAGAATAATTCTAGATTTTGTCATGATCTATGGCCACAATAAGGAGCTGCGGTGGCTCAAGTGGTTAAGACGCTGAACTGCAGGCTATGGAAGGTCAGTAGTTCAGCAGTTCGAAACCCGGGTGCCGCATGACCGAATGAGCTCCCGTCTCTAGTTCCAGCTCCTGCCCACCTAGCAGTTCGAAAGCAAGAAACTGCAAGTAGATAAATAGGTACCACTTCAGTGGGAAGGGAACAGCGTTCGGTGCGCCTTGGTGTTTAGTCATGCCGGCCACATGACCACGGAAACGTCTTCGGACAGCGCTGGCTTTTCAGCTTTGAAACGGAGATGAGCACCGCAACCCTAGAGTCGGATTTGACTGGCTTCCGAGCAAGGGAACCTTTACCTTTACCTTTATGGCCACAATAATTAATTATTGACTTCCTTATGAACTGATGCCATAACGGCACACCATATCAGTTCCTCAGCACTTCAACGGAGCAGGTGGTCTGATTGGACTATGACTACATGCACAACGCGCATATGACACCCGAACAACTTTCTGACCACGATAGTTTCAGTATCCGCGATAGTTTCCATCCGGCTGTTTCTGTGGGAACCCACGCATTCGCCTCCTACCATGTAAGTTAAAACGGCTTCTCCTATCTGGAGTGGACCAGTTTGTTTTTATTTGTTTTATGCATTTATACCCTGCCTTTCTCACCAACGGGCTGCGGTGGCTCAAGTGGTGAAGACGCTGAACTTGCAGACCGGAAGGTCGTTCGTTCGGCAGTTCGAGACCCGAGTGCCGCAGGACGGAGTGAGCTCCCGTCTCTGGCCCCAGCTCCTGCCAACCTAGCCCTTCGAAAGCAAGAAATTGCAAGTAGATAAATAGGTACCGCTTCGGTGAGAAGGGAACAGCGTTCTGCACGCCTTGGTGTCTAGTCATGCCGGCCACATGACCACAGAAATGTCTTCAGACAGCGCTGGCTCTTCGTCTTGGAAGCGGAGATGAGCACTGCATCCCTAGAGTTGGATATGACTGGCTTTCAAGCAAGGGAAACCTTTCTCCCCAATGGGAACTCTATAGAAATTAGTTGCTCATTCGTGTGTGTCTCCGGCAGGGACCGGCAGTTGGAGAACTTGGCCTGTTTTCATGCCTCCGGAATGAATCAGGAAAACTACCCTCTATGCCAGGTGACATCAACTGTGGGTGAAAAGGACGCAGGTCTGTAAAATAATGACCAGAACCACCTCAATGAATCAAATAATTACCAAATCAACCTGCAAAATAATTACCAAATCGACCTACTTCCACACCTCAGAAAAGATATAGCCTTGAAAAGGTGCAGAAAAGGGCTACTAAAACGATAAAGGGGACGGAAGACCTTCCCAATGAAGAGAGGGTAAAGGGGTTCGGGCTCTTTAGCTTGGAGAGGTGACGACTGAGGGGTGACATGGCAGAGGTTGACAAAATTAGGCATGGGATAGAGAAGGTCGAGAAAGGAGTCCTTTTCTCCCGTTCTTACAATTCAAGAACTCTGAGCAGGAAGCTTAGAAAGGACGAAAGGAAGTCCTTCACCTAAAGAGTAATGAACACCTGGAATTCACTGCCCCATAGACAGCTTCAGGAAGGGATTGGATAAACAAATGGAGCAGAGATTTATCAATGGCTATTAACCACAAGGTATTGAGCTGCGGTGGCTCAAGTGGTTAAGACGCTGAACTGCAGGCTGTGGAAGGTCGGTAGTTCAGCAGTCCGAGACCCGAGTGTACTGCGTGACGGAGTGAGCTCCCGTCTCTAGTTCCAGCTCCTGCCAACCTAGCAGTTCGAAAGCAAGAAATTGCAAGTAGATAAACAGGTACCGCTTCGGTGGGAAGGGAACAGCGTTCCGTGCGCCTTGGCGTTTAGTCATGCCGGCCACATGACCACGGAAACGTCTTTGGACAGTGCTGGCTCTTCGGCTTGGAAACGGAGATGAGCACCACAACCCTAGAGTCGGATTCGACTGGCTTTCGAGCAAGGGAAATCTTTACCTTTATAGAGGGAACACTATGGTTGGAGCAGTGATGCTCTGTCTTCTTGGTGCTTGGGGGACAACAGTGGGAAGACTTCTGGAGTTCTGGCCCCAGTGGTGGACCTCCTGATGGCCCCTGGGTTTTGGCCACTGTGTGACACAGAGTGTTAGGCTGGGTGGGCCACTGGCCTGATCCAGCATTGGCTTCTCTTACGTTCTTATGTTCTTATGGTATGCCTGTCCCTCTGCTGGCGTGACGTAGGTTGCCAACATGCAACCAGTGTTCCCTCTAAGCTGAGTGAGTGTGAGTTAGCTCACAGTTTTTGAGCCTCCGGCTCACACGTTTTTATCTTCGCTCAGGAAGTACAGCTCCAGAGCAAACTAATTCATGCAGTAGCCAAATCGCTCGCTCACAACTTTAATGTCAGTAGCTCACAAAATAGAACTCTTGCTCACAGGACTCCACAGCTCAGAGGGAGCATTGCATGCAACCTGTAGATGTCCTTGAAATGGGCGACATAGCTGTCCCAGGAAGGACACTTGGTGTTGAGAAAATGGTCCCGGCAGGAACCACCCCTTTGCCATAAACCTGTCCTGGGTCTGCATATTTTTACACGCATGTGGCATGTTTGTGTGCCTGTAAACCTTGTCCCTCTTTTCCGTGCAACCATCCCTTGTTAAAAATACAGCCTCCCATATTATTTGTGATGTGGAGGGACACTAGTAAAAGCTGTCTCTGAGCATAAGCAAGTGGCAGAGTTTCCAAATTAGTCCAGCCAATTCCTTATGCATGCACGTGAGCATGAGTGAGTGATCTCAGACATGCGAGGAGGACTTTGAATCACAATCTGCTCTCGTAAACAGGGAAAGTCTTTACCGCTATAGATTAAGATAGGGTACACAGGGGCTGGTTCTGCTTCTGGCATTCACTCCATATAAGGAACACTTTCCCTATGAGGAAAGGTTAAGGCGCTTAGGGCTCTTTAGCTTGGAGAAACGACGACTGAGGGGTGACATGATTGAGGTTTATAAGATGATGCATGGGATAGAGCAGGTAGGGAAAAAGGTACTTTTCTCCCTTTCTCACAATACAAGAATTCGTGGGCACTCCATGAAATTGCTGAGCGGTCGGGTTAGAACAGATAAGAGGAAGTACTTCTTCACCCAAAGAGTGATTAACACATGGAATTCACTGCCACAGGAAGTGGTGGCAGATACAAGCATGTTCGGCATCAAAAGGGTATTGGATAAACATATGGCGCAGAGGTCCGTCAGTGGCTATTAGCCACAAAGTATAGATAGGGACTCTCCGTCTGGGGCAAGGGATGCTCTGTCATCTTGGTGCTTGGGGGGATCAACAGTGGGATGGCTTCTAATGTTCTGGCCCCCCTGGTGGACCTCCTGATGGCACTAGTATTTCTGGCCACTGTGTGATACAGAGTGTTGGACTGGATGGGCCTTTGGCCTGATCACATTGGCACCTCTTATGTTCTTATGTTCGCAACACGGAGGAAAAGGTGCGGCTCAAAACCACATTCAAATACCCTGGACCGAAAGTCACCCCACCCCACCCTGCATGGCCATAAAACAGCCATAAATCTATGCGGAAAGTGAAAGTGGCATGCAGTCGAGAAAGTACCATAAAATCAAAGTGAAGGATCAAAGTGAAAGTGCCATGCAGTGCAGAGGGGAATTTCTGTTCCAACATGGGTCTGCTAAAGCCAGTGCAGCATGGACGAGGGAAGCTACTATCGTGCCTACTGGGTTACAGATCTAATGAAAAGAACAGGAAGCTAAACTTAGCAATTCGTAAGAGTTATCTCTGAAATCCCCACTCCCCGAATGCCCGTGGAACAATTGCACGTCCTGATCCCCACACGATCCATTCAGCAATATTGAGCTCCCAGCATTTACACAAAGACTCATGGGTGTTTTGTCGTTGTTCAGTCGCACAGTCGAGTCCGACTCTCCGCGACCCCATGGACCAGATCCCGCCAGGCCTTCCTGTCTTCCGCCGTCCTCTGAAGCTGGCTCAATTTCATGTTCGTTGCATTGATGACACTGTCTAACCATCTCATCCTTTGCCGTCCCCGTCTTCTTTGACCTTCAATCCTTCCCAGCATCAGGGTCTTCTCCAGTGAGTGCTCCCTTCTCATTGGGTGGCCAAAGTATTTGAGCTTCAGTTTCATTATCTGGCCTTCCAGGGAACAGTCTCTTAGGATTGACTGATTCGATCTCCTTGCAGTCCAAGGGACTCTCAAGAGTCTTCTCCAGCACCCTAGTTCAAAAGAATCTATTCTTCGGCGCTTGGCCTTCCTTATAGTCCAACTCTCGCACCCACACATGACTACTGGGAATACCATTGCTTTGACCATGCAGACTTTTATTGGCAGGGTGATGTCTCTACTCTTTATCATGCTGTTTAGGTTCGCCATCGCTTTCGTCCCAAGGAGCAGGCGTCTTTTAATTTCATGGCTGCTGTCACAGTCTGCGGTGATCTGGGATCCCAGGAACGTGAAGTCTGTCACTACTTCCACGACTTCCCCTTCTATTTGCCAAGGAGTGATGGGGCTGGATGCCATGATCTTAGTTTTTTTGATGTTGAGCTTCAAGCCCACTTTTGCACTCTCCTCTTTTACCCTGAGCAAGAGGCTCTTTAGGTCCTCTTCACTTTCTGCCATTAGAGTGGTATCGTCTGCATATCTGAGGTTGTTGATCTTTTCCCCAGCAATCTTAATTCCCGCTTGTGATTCATCTAGGCCAGCATTTCGCATGATGTACTCTGCATATATATTAAATAAGCAGATGTTTAAAATACTTACTTTTTGGTATTTG